CATTCACTTGCTTTGAATCTGCATTAGGGTCCAGAATCTGGAAATAACTTATTTATTGCACTCAGATTTAGCGCGGGCTCTGCATTTTTAAGTGCAATTTTTAGGTAAGTTGCCTCTATCTTGTAATGGATTTAGATATTCCTATCCATTACTTTCGATAGGTTTTTGTTCAGTATTATTTACATAAAGGGGGAAGGTTGGCTGGCCAAAAAACATGTTTAACCCCACTTTTATATAAATTATTTTATATATTAGCTGTCCTAAGTCAGCAAAGTTTATAATACTGCAGCATCCCTTTTATAATTTTTAATCTGGATTGCTCATGTGTCATTCACTGTGAGATTTTCGTACTGTCTATGTGTTTTTCGAAAGTGATTGTTGGATGTTATCTCTTGTTTGTAGAGGATAAGACTATATATATATATATATATATATATATATATAGTCTTATCCCTCTCTCTCTCTCTCTCTCTCTCTCTCTCTATATATATATATATATATATATAATATTGAATAGGCTGTTAATATTTTATTGTTTACTATCCTGGATTCCACGAGATTATTTTATTCTCATATACAAGGTCTTGCAAAACTAAATAGTTTTCTAATGGAAAGTGCACCTTTTGTATTTTATGAAAAAACAACTGCAATAAAGGAGAGGGAACAACTTATTGGCATATCAATAGATTCGATGTTAAAAATCTCAATTTAAGTAAGAACAGCTCCTAAATTTTATGTTGCAAATTCTCTTATTTAAAATACACAGTATTTCTCACACAGTGATAAACATTTTAATGCTATTCAGAACAATGCACATTAGTGAAAAGTATTTCTCAACCTTAGTGTATACAAAAACAAAGTATAGAAACAAATGAAACTCAGGATATGTAATGCGATTGCAGTTATTCTCAATAGACCTAGACCGGCAGTTTTTGTGACAAAATACAAACACATATCCCCGTTACTAAACATAATGCATGGATAGGTGACATTTGAATCACAAATTAATATTATTAATAAGTTAATTATATTAAAAAAATTTAATAATAAATGCAATACTCTCTCTCTCTCTATTCTAAATTGCCCTTACACTGATCTGTTGTTCTTTAAATATTATTACAAGATACATTCTTCTAAGAGGATATGTGGCATAGGGTTCCCCGAAAATACTTTCTAGTTCTAGGGGTGCAACAAAAACACCTTCTAGTTCTAGGGGTTCCGTGAGTTGAAAAAGTTTGAAGACCAATGCTCCAAGCTAACGAACTGGTACCAAGGAAAACAAGATGGAGCTAAAAGGGCAACGAGGCTATAAGTTGGAGCTCGATGTGTGTTGGATTTACCCTACACGCATGTGAAGAATGCGGGGTAGTCTTACGTTACACCAAAACCAAGAATTGCTGCAGAAATTCTCACCTTTCATAACATAGATTTGTAAGCTTGAAATCGGTATTGCCTCCTTGCTTTTGTAGTTATATATATATAAAAGAAAATTTATATTAAAAAGCATGAAATGTATGTAATTTATTTTAATTTTTCTTTCTTTCTTTCTTTATTTTTTGGTATTATTTCGAAAGTTTTTAAGTGACAAAGGATTAAGAGAAAATTGAACTGACCTTCATCAGCAAGTTTTCTTTCTAACTGGTATCGCTTGTCCACTGCGTCCCTGTAATCCTTGAAGCATTCATTCACTTCCTTATTACTAATTTCAGGGTCTTCTTTAGGATGTCTCTTTGGAGGGGTTTCTAAAACGTATATTTCATACAGGGTATAGGGCTCTTCTGCTGACTCTTGAATACTTTCAGCAATGAGAAGGGCAATTGTAATCCATGTCAGTAGAAACATCCTGAAACTATAGAATTATTCTATCAGTGTATTAATGATTTAGATAACATCAAAGTAAAATGTAATACTGAAAAAAAAATTTTTTTTTAGAATGACTTTTAACTAGTAAAAATATAAATTAAAGAGGAATATTATTAACAGAATATGGAGCAACAGTCTGATCATACATTCATGGACAAAAAATTAGTGTACCAAGAAGGAGTCGTCAAAATGAAACGAAATTTTACATTCGTAATGACTACTTTGATATAAGTAAATTATTAGATGATTAAATCAAAGAAAAAGAATAATTTATTTCAGAGAAAAAGACAAAAGAACGGAAGATTTAATACCCTGTTGAACCCCCTCTAGCGCGAATGCACGATGCGATACGATCGAGCAATTAAGCATACAAGTTCTGTATGATGTTTTGAGACATTTCATTCCATATTTGCTGTAGCATTGCCTCTACTTCGTTCAAACTCGTAGGATGCCCAACTCACCGTCCCAAATTATCTCAGATATGCTCGATTAAAGACAAATCTGGGGATCTGGCAGGCCAAAGAAGGGTAGTAACCGTACGGAGGCAGTCTTGTGACATCTTTGCCTTGTGAGGCCGAGCATTGTCTTGTTGAAAAATGGCTCCTGGGAGCCGTTGCATGAGTGGCAACACATGTGGTTGCTAGATGTCATGGACATACCGTTGGGCTGTCATGGTGCCGCAGATCAATACTAGGGGTAAACGTGTATTGTAGGCAATGGCATCCCATACCATCGCACCAGCTGTGGGAGCGGTGTGTCGCTGTAAAGCAAAGGCAGGATTTGGGCATTCACCCCAGGGTTTCCACACACAAACACGATTGTCATCTCTGCTGAGATTGAATCTGGATTCGTCGCTAAAGACGACCTTGTTCCATTCCGCTTCAGTCCAGTTTCCTCTTGCGCTGCACCACTCCAAGCGGAGGCGTCGATGGGTGGGCGTCAAGGGCAGCACACGTAATGAGTGCCGCGATCCCAAATGTCCTTCAGCCATGGTTCGAGAAGACACAGGGTTACCTAATGAAGGTACTACCTGCGCCTTGATGATGGCCGATGAAGCAGTTGGCTGTACATGTGCATTTCTTACGATGTGGTGGTCTTTTCGATGACTGGTCTTTTGAGGGCTTCCTGAGCCTGGTCTTCGTGTAAATGACATCTCTCTGATCCACTGGTCCTAACACCTCCTCACAACACAATCAGAGGGGCTTAATTGACGAGCTACTCACCTAACTGACCATCCAGCTTCCATCATGCCAATGATTCTTCCCTCTCAAACTGCAACAGCTGCTCATATTGTCTTCGAAAACGGCGTAATTACATGTCTACCTCTGTTCTTCCTTTGTAAACGATTCAGCTCACTCAAACAAGCTTTGATTTTACCTGTTTTGTACTCCACAGAGAATGACGTTAAACGCCCTCTACAGGCTATCCGTAATGCACAATCCCACTGCATTTCTAATAATTTCCTCGTCATTTACCTTCCTGCTATGTTTCGTTACGATCCCGCAATTATTTTTTGTTGCGCTAATTTTTTTTCCATGAGTGTAATACCTGGGATAATGTAAAGAAACTACGTGATTCCTTCAAATCAGTGCTTCTCAAACTTTCAATATTTCCGACGCAATTTTCAATAATAGGTTTTATTGCGCCCCCATCTCTATGCAATAACAATGCATTGAACGCAATAAGAATATACTTAGGCTTTAAAGTCACAATGCGACTTTAATTATAAATCATATAAATTATTAAGATATGTATTTTAGAATTTGTATAGGACAAGCCCATTGGAAGCACTAGTAATTATTAAATTTGTTTTTAATTTAGTACTGATAAATTCATTTTCTAAAACATTGTGTAGCACTCATACATTTATAAGTATACTAGCCCGCTTCACTGGGTATTTCACGATGTTGTATATATGTATACTGTTTACATATATATTAATTATTGATATCTAGCATTAAAAATTCGATTGTATTGAAAAATATATTTATAGCTGTTACACTCTCGCCCCTTGATATAAAAAGAACATAAATTATAATATCTGATATTTCTATTTATATCTAAAACAGAAGGAGAAAGATATTTTTCGCTCACTTAACCTAATAATCAAGTGGATTTCCACCAAAGCAACTTTCAGTGGATCTCTACTCCAAAAAATAAACATGCGTGCTAAATTTCAAGTGTAAATCTAACAGAGCAAAAACGGAGTTTTTATCACCAATACCTCGTTGAGAGCACTCTTAACGGATTTCCATTCAACAAAAGAAGCATGCAAACCAAATTTTATTATTGTAGTCTTAGCAGTTCAAAAACGGGAATTTTGTCTATCAATTCGCCCCAATAACTCTCCCCGCTTCCCCCTGAAGTTGATTTCCGTAAAATCCATTCTTAGTGGAACTCTATTCAACTATATAATGAAAAGTGCTCAACAAATTTCAAGTAAATGAGTTAAATTCAAAAACAGGAATTTTTCTATAACACGCCTTAATCCCTCGCAACACCACTCCTTTGGGGGTCCGTTTTCGCAAAAATCTTTGTAAAAGGAAATTTATTCCATGAACGGAACATACCTTCTAATTTTCAAGCAGGTGTTTCTATTAGTTGAAAAGCGGAAATATTTATCTATTACGCCCCTTAATCCCCTCAGTGACCCTTGGGGATCAAATTTCCCCAAAACTATTTTGTAGCGGATCTCTACACCATGAAAGGAATTCCCTTACCAAATTTTAAGTCTGTACGTCTAATAGTTTAAAAATGGAAATAATTATCCATAACGCCCCTTAAGTCCCCGTAACGCCACTTAGGAAACGATTTTCACAAAGCCCATTTTATGACAGATCTCTACTCAGTGAATAGAATCTGCTTACTCAATTTCAAGATTTTACGTCTAATAGTTTAAAAAAGGAGTTAATTGCCTATAACCCCCTTAATTCTCCACAACGCCACTTGGGGTCGATTTTCACAAAACCCATTTTGCAGCGGATCTGTACTCTATGAAAGGAATCCGCTTACCAAATTTCAAGACTGTACGTCTAATAGTTTAAAAATGGAAATAATTATCTATAACGCCGCTTAAGCCCCCGAAACGCCACTTAGGAAACGATTTTCACAAAACGCATCTTATAGCGGATCTCTACTCAATTACCCGGGTACAAACCATGGACTTCTCGATCTGCAGTCGAATGCTCTACCACTGAGCTATACATTCCGCGTCAGTGAACCTTTACTTTGCGTTCCATACGAACGGATATGAAGATGCTTTGTCTAGAAATATACAGAACGGGACAGATCATTCCCGCCTTCAAATTCTCAAAAAAATATTTCTCTTCACTTCCCTGGAGGAGGCACCCGGGTTTAAGCCGAGGATCTCTTGATCAGCAGTCGAATGCTCTACCACTGAGCTATTTTAATCTTGTTACGCCAAAAAAGTATAACTTCTTACGTACGTGCTTAAGTACACACACACTTTTTGCTGCTTGGAAATGTCACTAATACTTAGTTCGGGCTCTTTTACATTTGTTGAAGCCAGTCTTAAACATAGATAAAAGTATTAAGCGCAAACGTAACTTGTAATGGTCTTTCCCCTTAAGTCCCTCCCTCTATCTAAATCTGTGGGAGGGAACGAAGCATGACCACAACTCTCCGTGATAAATCTAATTTATTATTACTCATTTGTAATATTCCACAACAAAGTAATCTATTAAAGGAAGTCCTAAGAGTGATAGACAGAAAGCAACCACATTAAGTCAGTACTTCTCAAAGTTGTAATACTGGCGAGACCCAATATTCATCATTATTTCCATTGCAACCCCCCATCATACAATAACAATGTACTGAATTCAATAATATTATACTTTAAAGCTAAAACTACTATACGACTGTAACCCTCTTAATAAAAACGTCCCCGTGTGTATAAACGTCTCGTTAAGCCAAAGCCTTTATTTCTCCAGACGCATATATACATCTTTCCGAAGTACGATTTTTTCAGTGCACTGCTATCCGTAAAATTATTCCAAGACTTTGGAAAGCAATAAAAGGACCTAGATGTTTGCGAAGGATTTACTTATTCCAGATTATTTTTATATTACCCCCCGCCTCCCCCAATACATCACATCTGCGTGCCTACGTGGAAAACGGTTGGCATTGGGATGCGTATCGCTAAACTTATGATCGGCACAGTTAAGGTTTAATTATAAACCGTCAAACATTATCAAGTAAGTGTTAATTTTTGTTATACATTATGTATATGACAAACCCAAGGGGTCACTGCTAATTAATAAACTTGTTCTTGGCTTAGAATTGTTAAATTAATTATAAAATACATTGTGAGTAGCACTGTTATATTTATAAGTGTAATATATTAGTGTAAATGTGTATTTTATTTTTTATTATGTTAGAATGTATTTTGTTTGTTTACCTTCAGTAAATTAATAATGTTTTAAATAATCTTTTGTTCTCGACTTTTCAATAGGTTCACGCCCCCCAAGGGGGCGCGCCCCACAGTTTGAGAAACACTGCCTTAAGTGAATAAGCGCACTTAATCAGATTAGTTTAGCTTTGATCAACCCTAACCTATTAATTCTTGATCCACTAATTTAGTCTAGTAGCTAAAATTCGTCTTTTAGTCAAGATGCGCTAATTCTAAATCTCACCTTAGTAACGCTGCATTCAGCTGCTCCGCTCCTTCTGATCTATGATTATTAAACTCTAACTTTATATACTCTAACTAATTTGCACCTCAGGGTTTCTTCTTGGGAGGGATAGCTGTGAAATAAACGGGAATGCTAGCCAAAAGATTCCCCAAGAGGAGTAGTTGGTAAAGGTCGCGTAAAGACCCGTCACAAACTGATGTATGTATTTCATTTGAATCAAACAAAATGTTAAACAGTTGTTATATTACAAAGCTCGCACTAGACCTACTTTGATTGTCACCTCGTTTTTTGAGCTCCATGTATAGTATTGAACATATAGGTACTTTACGACAAAGATTCTTGCAGTTGAATGCTTTAGTTTACTGATGTCTTTAATGCAGATGTTTATATGCACCAGTATAATAAATTCAAAAATTAAATGAGTAAAATACGTGAATCAAGGTTTATCAGGATCAATCTACTATCCGAAATGCATCGTATAAGACATTGGAATGCTTTCGAATGCATGACACAAAAACTATGTACAGTATTATCTGCTTCTCACACATTGATTTAATATTTTTTACCATTATTTAGGTATATTTTTCAAATTCATCTCTATATTTTCAGTATTTTATCAGTTATCATTTATTTTGAAGGAATCTGTTTCTAATTTTATCTCGAATTGCTGGAATTCCAGTAGGTACTTACGTATTATACTGTTGATATATTTCGCCCAAAAAAAGACATCGCCAATCATCATGTGTATGAACAGGATTATTGTGTTTGTACATGCGTCAAAACAGTTTTTACTGTTGTCTATATGTCGAGGGAAATTACGAAATTAGGAGTTTGATCAAATCGCTAAGAAATGGGATCAATTGATGGGAGATGTTAAAATAACGTCTCTCTTAAAGGTCATTTTCCTGATGAAATTAAGCGATTTTATCAAATCCTTGAACTGTTTTAGTGAAATGATGAAATGAACTAGCCAGGATTTGCATTGGCAAAATACTGTCCGGGAGGGGGAGGGGTCGAGTCCTTGTACATCCTAACCAAACAGATAGTACTATCGATCTCCAAAATATCAACTCCATATCTTTAAAAAAAATGACACCATAGGATTAGCATGGGGATTCCTATTTTAGTGTGTGAGTCCTCCCCTGCTCAAAGCAGGTCATCATTAGTAAAGAAACTATGAAGGAAGGAGGGGCATGTCAAGTCCCTCGACGCCACTGCGTGCTTTTCCGGTTTCCTGTTACACATTTCCGTCTCTTTTCATGAAATCACTCCCACAAATTTCCATCAACCAAGAAGAAAGATGTTATTCATAAAAAATACCATCCTGGTTTTCTAATTATTTGTTAATTAGTTTCGAATAAATAATTTGTATTTCATTGACTATTGTTGCATTACTTACTTCTACGTTTAATAATGTACCATATTTGTTAAAAAACACTTTTAAATTCTTGACAACAGTATCTCATTATTTCACTGAAACATGTAAGGGACTTGTTCAAATCCCTTACTTTCATCAGGGAAATGACCTTGAAGAAACGTTACTTTTACATCTCCCGTGAATTGATCATACACTTAGGGATTTGATCAAATTCATAATTTCATCGTTTCTCTGTGACATATATATTGCGGCATTAGGTTACGTCTTTTTATTTGATGAATATCTTGACGTTACACAACACACATGTACCTTCCAATACATAATAAGCAATGAATATACAGTAAAATGCAAATATTTCAGCTGGGAAAAGATTTAAATACATTGTAATTGGAACAATTCGTTTCGTAATCCATTAACCTATTTACATACAAATTTTACGTTTTTTTATTTTTTATTTTACTATAATATTTGCTACTATAATTAAGCTAAGAAATAAGCTGGCTTACACTAGATCGTGTAAGACAGTTATTTCTTAAATCTGATTTTTTTTTTGTCGGATGAGTGAAGAATGTATATTTATAGATAAAAATAATTATAAAAGTTTCTTTCTAATAAGCCATTTTCGTTATGAATCCATCAGCTATGTCAAGGGTTTTATCAAGAATTGCCAAATGACAAGTATGTTTCGAGTAAATTGAATATTAATCGTTTAGTCATTGTTTTCTGTATTTTATTACCGTGACAAGGCGTTTCTAATTTCCTCTTTTTCCACTCGAATTAATACTTGTTCTTCCCGTTTTGAAATAAAAATTATTATCACAAAGTATAGAAGCAATAAAAGTAATAAAATGAAAACTGAATGTCAATTTTCGATAAAGCAGGAACTTATATCACTCGAATGCGGTATATGGAGGTAATAAAAAAAAGATTAAACTCGTTTATACTGCTAACAGAAAGATAAATTTGGCAATATAGTTGCGATAATAGTATATAAAACAATTCTATTACGATTGCATGAAAGATAAATTGTGCGTTATATAGGTATATAAAGCAGTTTATATACCAATGAAATACAGTTTATAAACCAGTTAAAATAAGAAAGGTATACTATTTATCAGGAGAGAGAAGTATCAGATGTTTGCACACAAATGATTCATCCATTTTGAAAGGGCTCTATTTTCAAAAATGTTAGGCGTCCACACATGAAAGAAAGGGGAGGGGGGGGGGTTCAAATTTCATGGTACAAACTTTAAGGGTAGGTACAGGAGATTGTAACAAATAATTTATTGTATAGGAATGTGTGGGTGCAAGTGGCGCGGTGAGGCACAAACATAAAAAGTAAGAGACGAAAGGAAAGACAAAGTGTTTATTGAAAGCGTCTTTGAAAAGCGTAATGTTTAAAATAAATCTTCAGAACTGTTCAGCACATGAATTATGAAGTCCAGCAGCAGCTCACATTTCTATACCACCTACTGGCAGACGGAGAAGATAGCCTGCCGGATTCGAAGCTTGTACCCGCTGAAAATGGAAGAGGTGTAAGCAATTTTCATTTATATATATAATACTCTACAAGTTGTCTAAGGACTCACACTTACGTGATAAGAAACAGCTCTTGTACTTGACTCTGATGTTACAGTCACAACGTTTAAGATGATTAAGATGCTGCTTTGTTGATCAGAAGCATGTCTACTGACGTGTAATGAACGTGTTTACCGAAGTTGACGATGCAACCGCTGAAAAATTCTGTGATCCGGCATTCGTCGATCAGGAAAATGCAGAGGATACATTCGTAGAACAGCTCTGCCATTACCATTTATATGGCCGTACATGTAATGCATGTCTGCATTTTCGGAATACGTAAAGTCTCCCTTCGTAAACGTCAGCACAAATGTGAATGGCTTTTTCCCCTATTGAGAAGCATTATGTTGAACGGTGGCTAGATATCTACTGCCCACTGTCGGCAACGAAACCAACCGATGGCTCCATTGCTCTTTTCTTTTATTTCCCCCGTTTGCACTTTGCCAGGTATTTTGCAATCACATATTCTAAAATAATAACTGATTGGTACAGAATGTCCTGTATCATACCATGAATTTGAGACCACCTTCAATATGAAAAGAACCACAAACTCACCGTTTTAATACCCTCTACAAAAGCTCATTATAGGCCTTTTGGGTG